AATGTCCTTGTAATGTCCTGAAATACTAATGTCCTGAAATACTTTTTAACCTAAACCCACCCCTAACCCTACCCCTCACAGAAAACTTTCTGCAGTTTTACAATTTCAAAAAAACTTTGTTTACTTTAATTTTATTCCAGTTTTACAAATGAGGACGTCCCCAAATGGAGGTTTTTGGTGATTTTGTCAGGTTTTGCTCACTTTTGGCTACAAATTTTTCCCCAAAATATGGTTAAGTAGGCACACACACACACGTCTGATTAACTATCCTTGTAGGGACTCTCCATAGGTGTAATGGTTTTTATTCTGTACAAACTGTATTTTCTATCGCCTTACACCAACCCTACACCTAAACCTACCCGTCACAGAAAACTTTATGCATTTTTACAATCTCAAAAAAACCTCATTCTGTATGATTTATAAGCCTCTGTACCCATGGGGACCTCAATTTAGGTCCCCATTGTGGAATGACTTGCAGAAAAGAAAAAAGAAAATGTAACTGGGTATTGGAATACAGCTACAGTCATCAAAACAGAAAGACTTGTGTTTTGATGGAGATTGTCATGCACGTTTCCCTAAAACAAACAAAAAACAACAAATGCAGTACTATCAGCATTCAGATTTATGGCTCACAATTGTAATTTTGGAGTTGTTTGGCAAAATCTAAACACACACACACACACACACGCATACATATAAAAAAGAATCAGAGGTCTTCATCTACGTCGCAGGCAGGCAACGGGGGAAAAAATCCTGTGGTGTGGCGGATCCAGCCTTGACAAGACAGCACTTTTATGTCTCCACGGGCCAGTTCTTCCACCCTAACGTGGTAGTCTTGCAATCCTACACAAGATTCTCTTCCACTCTTCTTTTGAACTTTCCAACTGATTATGGTGGCCACAGAGAATCAATTTAGCTCAAATTAGGTTGAACTCTTTGTCCTGCCTCTATCATTCCATGCACAAGAAAATGGTCTCTCACAGTAGCTCTGATTTCATTTGAAATGACTGTTCTTGGTCCTCCTCTTCCTCCACCTCCTATACGCACTCTTCTGTACCTCTCAAATTGATGGACGCACCCACGCCGTACACTTTGAACTGGCTTATAGTCGTATCCAGCCTTGACAAGACAGCACGTTTATGCCAACACAGGCCAGTTTTTCCACCTTACGTAACGTGGTAGTCTTGCAATTCTACACAAGATTCTCTTCCACTCTTCTTTTGAACTTTCCAACTGATTATGGTGGCCACAGAGAATCAATTTAGCTCAAATTAGGTTGAACTCTTTGTCCTGCCTCTATCATTCCATGCACAAGAAAATGGTCTCTCACAGTAGCTCTGATTTCATTTGAAATGACTGTTCTTGGTCCTCCTCTTCCTCCACCTCCTATACGCACTCTTCTGTACCTCTCAAATTGATGGACGCACCCACGCCGTACACTTTGAACTGGCTTATATTTTGTACATTCACATATTTAGAAACAAGTGTGAGCAGTTTTGAATTATTGTGTGTAAACAATGACAAACGTGTTGCAGTTGTGATTAACTTTTGTTTTCTTGTGTTTAGGGTTTTGCATCAAGTTTTTCACAGCGCAAACTACGTTTGAGTGAGAATGTGTTTAGAGTTTTTAAAAAAAGAGCGCATGAGATCTGCAAACAGTGTCTAAACTGTCTTAACTTGTTTAAGGTTTTGCAGTAGGAGTGATTTATTTGACAAATTGATTTAGGCTATTGAGAATTTGGTTCAGAGAATGGGGTGTCTTAGCAAATGTGAAAAACTGTGTGTAGTTTGACAAGCCTGAAAACTATACATTACTTTATCTCGTTGCCTGTCTGTATGTATTTACCTAATTTTAATTTACACATTTTTAAATATTCCATTAAACCTGCCGAGAGCGTAAACTAACATTCTCAGTTCCACGCGCATGTCCGGGAAACTCATGAATATTCACTGATGCAGAAAATCTCGTAGCAACGGCAAACATTCAGAAGGCGGGACCCGCTTCGAAACGGCAACATTAATTGGTTTAACTGCAGGTGAGTGACAATTCAACTTTATCCAATGAACAATGAAATGAGGCTAGTATTGCTGCCTGTCTTGACTGGTGGACTAGTTGGGGATTCATTATATTATTGGTAAGATAAGTCGTTTTCTTCCCGTTTAGATGTTTGGAGAACTGATTTAATATCAGCGAGTATCTATTTGCATCATATGATAAGAGTTCTTGTGCTTAGTGTTGTTGTGTTTTCATGTGAACTGAACTGCTCTTTTAAATGAGCATAAGACAGCTTGGCTTGAATAGAATAAAAGTCTATTTCCTTGAAACTTTACCGTTTGAAAACGTAATGAACGTCATTTTATTAAATATGCATAGGCCTACTGTATATTTGTATGTTGCATGCTTTTATTATGTGATAACCAACTAATTGTCAGATCTATATAATTAGCACGTTATTACCTGTTAATTCTATTAAATAATTATACATAAATATGCATGCAAACATTAAAAATGTAAATAATATGTAAAAGACATGAACATTTGTCATTCTTTTTACTTTTAGATAAATATTGTTTGGGTCAACATTTGACACTGTTATCAAAATGTTATATTTTATGTTTTATTTGTATTTGAAGTACTAAGGTTTCCTACAGCTGTATTTCTGCTGTTTGCAACAAATCATGTATTTGGTATGTGAGAAAAATGAAAATAGTTGTTTAAATATCTATGTCAGAGGTGATATAAAATCATACAAATGTTTATAGACTTTGGTGTCTAATATTTAAAGACACATGGGCCATCAGTGTCAAAAACGCTACATTTTAGATCATTTTAAAATTACTTTAAACATCATCTTACGTAACCAAGTTATTGTAAATATCTATGTCAAAGGTGATACAAAATCATACAAATGTTTATACACTTTGTTGCCTAATATTTGTTAGATATTTTGTTCCAGACACACTGGCCCTCAGTATTAAAAAAGCTTTTGAGATTTTTAGATCAATTGCTGTAAACAAGAACATTTGCTTAAATTACTAACTTATATAATGCGTAACGGATCACAAGTTTAAATTCTTTAAATAAATGTAATAAATTAATTAGTAGTAGGAAATATCATGAGATGTCAATGTCAATCTTTTCCACGCACCCCTGGATGAAAGCCAGTCAAAAAGACCTTTAATTGTCAGTGAGTTGATTTTGAATGATAATGATGTCTCTTTCACCACAGCTCATTGTTAGTGTCGTCTTTCCTGTGGTTCACATGTATCGTGTCTTCGTCTACGGCACGCTGAAGAAAGGCCAGCCCAACTGCAGGATGCTGGATGCTGCCAAAGGCCGGGCCGAGTTCCTCGCTCACGCTCGAACCGTAGAGCGATATCCGCTCGTGATCGCCACCAAATACAATATCCCCTTCCTGCTGAACGTGCCCGGGATGGGTCAGCGTGTCCACGGTGAAATCTACAGTGTGGACCAGCAGATGCTGCACTTCCTGGACAGGTTTGAAGGCTGTCCAAAGATGTACCAGCGCACTGCAGTCCAGCTGGAGGTGCAGGATGGGGACGGTGAAGGGGAAAACACACTGAAGCCTGGAAGCATTGTGGAGACATTTGTGTACAGCACGACTACATACCAACCCGAGTGGCTCCAAAACCCAACATATGAGAGTTATGATGCGAACGGTGATCATGGACTGGAATATGTATCTCGTGAGGACAGAAGCCCTAAGTAAATACTGTACTGGTATCAGTTAACAACAGGGTCCAGAATTTCACATTTTACCACACCTGCCAGTGTCACGTCACTTTCCATTCAGATGTTTTACAAACAACAACAACAACTGTATCTTGCATTATTATTTTTTATTTAGAAATATATTTCTGTTCTTATGACAATGAGATTTAACTAATTATTCCCTTGCATATAAGTGACAAATGTATGGAATTTCTGCATTTTTTTTATTAAAGACAGGAGACAAATATTAGGAAATGCACTAGTTTTTATTTTAACTACTGTTTTGATTGATTTTATTTTTCTTTGATTTTTTTTGCACAGCAGAAATAAAGCTGTGGCAAACAATTTTCTTTTTATTTATTTATTTTTTTTAAATTAAAGACGGGAGACAACAATTAGGAAATATAGTGGTCTTTTGATTGGCTTTGGTCGTCATGTCTTCATGTCTCTCAGGGAAACCCTGAGATTACACTGAGATTTTTTAGTTTTGGCAAATAAATATGAGGAATATTTCATATCACAGGAAGAAAAAAAAATCTTGAGACATCCTAGATCAACTTCTGATGGTATATTATCTAACGTTGTTAGATGTCAGGTGTTTTCTTTAGACATTCTATGTCAGTTCATTCATGTGTGATCTACATTTACACGCCAGTATCTGATCATTTCGTTTTATTCAGTACTGAAACCCCCTTTTTTATTTTATTTATTGGCACTCGGCAAGTGTTCATTTTGGACCCTTATTGTTAATGTGGTATCAGATGACATTAATTTAAATTTGTGGTATATAAATATGTGATACCTTAAAAAGTACCAGGATCAAAGGACAAATTTATAAGGACATTCATTCAAGGGACTGCAAAAGAGTCAACTGTAAAAGGATCTGGGAACAATCTATTATAATATGTAAAAAAATTATGGACACTTAATCTTGAATAAATGTAGTGCACTAGCAAAACACACTAGTACTGTATATCTAGAGATCAGGTGTATTTGTTCATATGCTGTAGAAGTGTTTATTATGAGTTTTCTAAATTGCACTTTACAATAACATAATTCAGAATGTTTTCAATTTAGATTTTTCAAAATGTAAATGACAAAGGCAGCACATCTATATATATATATGGATTTGTTTATTCTGAACATGTTCACACAGTGTCAAACATACATTTCTGCCAACATATAATCCATATTGTATTTTTTTGTTTATATATATAT